CTTTTCCGCAGCTTTGTCTCCCCCAAAGATATGCCAAACATTAGAAGCTATTTGCCAGCACATGGTGGGAGGTCAGATGCATTCAGCCTTCAGACTACTGTCTGGTCCTACCACAGGTGGAGTCCACCCTCTGTTAAGGACAATGGATTACTTCTCCCTCAAGGCTTTCAGCCATCAGCCTGGTCCACTGTAGGTAGGTTCACACCCTACTGATAATGGTTTCTATGGAGAGCCAGAGAATAAACCTGCTCAGTGACATCCAAAATTAGGCTGCCTCCCTGTATCTAGGATCGGCCCATCTTGTCACATGTATACCCTCAATCCCTCCCCTTCCTATTGTATGTATACCCCTAGATCATCCCCCTCTCATCACTGTATTACTTATAGCACAACCCCTTCTTGTGATGTATGTCCTGACCTGTAATTAGGGGGCTTGCAAACCCCCCAAAGTCATATAAGCCTTGGTTAGTAATAAACCGCTCTTGTTCGCTCCTGTAATTCCTACCTTTCACACCCTTGCATGGACCACCGAGTGGGGCTGAGGTGAGCATGCTACCAGGAAATGTGTCTGACTCCATTACTTCAGTCTCTCTTTTCTCTCTCCGAATTCTCTGACTTTACTATTATCTTCACTATCTTTATTATTGCTGTAGAATTGCGCCTACTGGACCTATGATGATTTGTTAGGGGCTGGCTACCCTGACAGATGATAAACTGGGAGGGAAAGTAGCGGAGCTGCAGCAAACTGTCCAGTGGTTAGGAGATCTAATTATGGACTTGCAACATCAATTAATGCTAAAATGTGATTGGAATGTAACTGATTTTGTGTAACCCCTTACCTATATTGGAAAAATTTGCAAGGGTTTAAGGAAAACATTTCGTTAGATGTCAATCAGCTAAAAATGGATATTTCTATACATTCAAAGATAGACTTGATAGGGAACTGATTACAAGATCTACACATGACCTCCTCCCTGGGGGACAACAGAAAAATGGATGAAGGGAGACATCGGACAGGGCAAGTTATGACAAAATAATAATTTATAAATTATCAAGGGGTCATGAAGGAGGGGACAGTGGGGAAGGAGGGGAAAAAATGAGGACCTGATGCCAGGCGCTTAGGTGGAGAGCAAATGTTTTGAGAATGATGAGGGCAATGAATGTACAAATGTGCTTTACACAATTGATGTATGGATTGTGATGAGTTGTATGAGCCCCTAATAAAACGATTTTAAAAATGTAAAAAAAACCAACCAAACAAAAAAAAACAAAGATAGACTCGAGGTATCCCTGAGCTCTGATTTGGTTAAATCATTGGTGGATGGCATGGAAGGACTGGACCCGAGGGCTTGAGTTCAAAGTACTTATCATAGCCTGGGTTCCAGCTTAAGGTGCTGCTCATAATCATAAATGTTGCCCTGGTTATCATGTGTTGCTTCTGTAGAATGCTAAGGCGAATGAAGGAAAATCATACAGCCTCCATGGCCCTTTTGAATTTTATGCATAAAGCAAACGTTGTGGGGAGGAGGGAACAGGAAGAGAGTGTATATGGATGTGTCCTTTGTTCTCACACTAAGAAGCCTGGCAGGCTGGATCTGGGGTGGAGAGAGGCCTTCAACCCTGTGAGTTGGAGGTAGGTCCTAATCACATTCTCATATTGCTCCCCACTTTACCGTCCTATAGAGTACTGACTTAAAGTTATCTCTTGCAAGCACATATCTGATTGCTGTGTGGCTGGCAGCTTTAACTATCGAAGCAGACATTCCTATTTGCTCTATTTCTTCCCACGGTGGCATCCAGCCCTCTCATACCTTCCTCCAATAGCAGATGGGCACAGGGATACTCTATCCCTCGTGCCTGGATTCAAAATGTTTCCCATAAGCCTGAATTTTTGGATATATTAATTCGGTCAATAAATTTGCCTAGACAACTTTCAATGTATAGAAAATAACCACTTTGCCCTGGTGGCGCCTTTGAAATATATATATATATATATATATATATATACACACACACACACACACAAAAGGGGGAATTGTAGGATATAAAGACTTTTCCCCAGTTTTGTCTCCCTTTGAAAAAAAAAAATATATATATATATAAAACAAAAGGGGGAATTGTGGGATATAAAGACTTTTCCCCAGTTTTATCTCCCCCAAAGATATGCCATACATTAGAAGCTGTTTGCCAGCACATGGTGGGAGGTCAGATCAGATGCTTAGGGATATTCTCCCTGAAGGCATTCAACCATCAGACTAAGATCTGATCCACTGTGGGTGGGGCTCACACCCTACAGATAAGGATAGAAAGTGCTTCCATGGAGAGCCAGAGAAGTGGCCACACCTGCTGGCTACCCCCACAAGGTTGCACCTCATCAGAGAAACTCTAAAGCAGTGGTTCTTAACCTTCCTAATGCCACAGCCCTTTAATACAGTTCCTTATGTTGTGGTGACCCCCCACCATAAAATTATCTTGTTGCTACTTCATAACTGTAATTTTGCCTTTATGAATCAGGCGACCCTCGAAAGGATGTTTCACCCCCAAAGGGGTCACGACCCACAGGTTGAGAACCACTGCTCTAAAGGGTTTGCAGCTAATTCAAGCCCTTTTCAGCTACCAGCACTTCCAGCTTTTACTTTGCAATCTTCATTCAAGGATTAGAGAATCTACCTGTACTGTTTACTTGGTTATAGAGAGGCAAAAGAACTATATGGAATTATGTAGTTATCCACTTACTGTATTTCTAGTAGGGATGTAACTATGAGCCATGAGACAGAACACTGTTAAAAGCTGAAGTAGAGATAGCTCTAATGTAGTCTTAACCCGGGTGTCTCAAATGTTAACATGTTCTCCTTCCCCCCCTGACCCAGTTTCTATTCAAATCAGAAAATGTGGGCAAGTTAACCCATGGTTCCAATGCATCTTCTTCCGCAGGGTCTAGTCTCACTTGTGAAGTCATTTTAATCTGCAGATTTCTCACAGCTTCCCATTTCTCAATCTGCAGGGTTGGCGAACCTTTTTCCTGCCAAGGGCCGTTTAGATCTTTATACCATCATTCAGAAGCCATATTGGTCAAACATTTAATTGTCACACCAGTAGGTGGCTAAAGCCCTTTTTCTTTAATGAGGCCTGTGTTGCTATCAAAGAAACGGTGATCAGTTTTCTACTTGTTATTGTCGTATATAGCTTTGTCCCTTTGGAAAAAGTGTATTTTTGTATTCCTGGTGTGCTGCTTAAGGCTTTGTGATACTTGGCTGGACCACGATTTTCAGTGGCTCGGCAGTGAAGACCTAGTGATCGTTCATAATGAGATCTAACAATGTAATCACTTCCACACTGAGATCTGCCACTAGAGGCCAATTAAAGGCCGTTTCCTCAGGGGTGTAGACTGCTGTCAACGTAAGCGGATCTTGCCTTTTGCTGTGTCTGGATCTTGCATCTGGCTTGTCAACCTCTACTTCTTTGGACCTGAGCCCCTGGTCTGCCGTATTGCCTGCCCACCCTGGGAGTTGTCAGTGGCCTGCCACCTGACACATTGATCTTGGATTCATTCACCTCTGCAGCCATAAGCCTTACCTGCCAACCTTGTATCCCTTTATACGTGCAGCCACAAGCCTACCATCTTCCTGTTGAGCTTGGGTTCATCAGCCCCCCACAGGTATGCATGTCAGAAGCCTCCAGCTTAGCATCTGACCCACAGACTTGGAATTTTCCAACTTCTTTAACAGTGTAAGCCAATATAAACTTTGTCTATCTATCTATCTATCTATCTATCTATCTATCTATCTATCTATCTATCTATCTATCTATCTATCTATATAAGCTTTACTGGTTTTTCTTTTCTAGAGAACCCAGCCTAAGATACCTGGCAAAGTTATTCACATGATTAGCATAATTCCAGAGTTAAACAAACTGAAATTAAAAACTCTATTACCTGGACCTGATCCCGATACTACTGTCCTCTTTAATATTCCTATTTTATGAGCTATTGTTAACTCAAACCTCATATAATTACCCGCCCCACCCCACAGGGAAGCTAGAAGTCAGTTATAATATTGGTATTCAATACAATAGCAGTGGTTCAATTTCGTTGAAAAAGCCTGTTCTCCATCCTCACATAGTATCCATCTGGAAGTTCTAAGACTCCATATAAAGAGAAAGTGTTTTAAATCTTAGCATTGCTTTACTGAGAAAATGGGTGGAAAAGGCAGTACAAACGGATCAAAAATGTCTCTAAAACGTGTGGATCTGGTATCAGGTGGCACACTAAAAAAAAGCATTAACATTACAATGATAAACTAACCAGGAACAAAACCAATTGGTGTTTGATTAAAAAACAATGAAACCAAACCCACCGTCATCAAGTTGATTCTGACTCAGGGCAGAATGAGCTGCTTCCTAGGGTTTCCAAGGCTGGAAATCTCTGCTGGCGCAGAAAGCCTCATCTTTCACCAGAGGAGAGACTGGCGGGTTTGGATCGGCTGGGTTTGAATTTCTGCCCTTGCGTTTAGCAGCCGACTGTGTAACCAACTACATTACCAGGGCTCCCCGGGGTTGAGAAAGTGCATCTTAAAAAGCCCTAAGATCAACATTCTGGAGAGCCATCTACAGACGCAGTGACTGTTCATGGGAGGGACACTGTGTGTGGCATTTGAAGGAGGAGCTAGGACAGCAAGACACAGGTAGGATTTATGCTTTTCAAATTCTTCAAAATAAGGGCACAGGATCTGGCTTTTCTAAGAACAAGATAAACATTTACAACTAACTACACATTCGTTTCCGGGCTAGTGGCCTGGTTCACATCTTGTACTATTTTAGTCATCTAACTATTATCACCTAGCTATCTTTTCAAACAATCATAACTTCATGTTGACACAGTTAGCGTCAGCTCCGATCTTCCTGCTCAGGTTCAATAGCAACTGTATAGGAAAAATCAACAGACCTCCCCCCACCCCATCTCGGCATGCCCAGTCAGACCAATCATAATTTAAGGGCAACAAATTCACATTTTATTGTGTGCTTGAGTGTCTTGAATGTAATATGCTTCCCTTGCCGTGAGAAAATAAAAACTTTACATTCTTTTTTTTTTAACAAAGAAATTCACCAAGGCTAGTAAAATATTTGAAGTTTAAAAAAGATCCCTCCTTGACTTTTCTTAAATAAATCTCCCTTAGTATTCCACGTTGTGGAAAACTGGCACAGGCAGGCTAGACACCACACCACCGATATTTCAGAATGCTGCCACCAGTACTTGCAAGGATTTTAGAATCCATCAGAGCAACCGTGTCCCACCTTACGCACTCCAGCAGATGACAGGTGTGGAACTGCAAGAGGTTTACAGATGATATTTTTAATCTGAAAGTGTTCAATGTATCAGAGGAATTCCAAACTGCTTGAAAGAGAATATTGAAAAATAGGTCTGAAAAGAGCTTGGTCACAATCCTTGGGTCACTGCAGCCTGTACTCTGTAGGCACCTATTAGCAACTTAACCTATTGGAAGAAAAAATACAGGTCAGTACAGAAGTGAAGAGCCCCTCTTTGCCAGAAAGAGGGGGGGAAATGAAACTTAGCCTCTACAGGTTTCTCTTACTTAGCAATATATTTTCAGCTGGGCGCTGTTTCTATTGCTATAAGAAATCCAAAGGCTTGTAATGTGATTTCATGATATGTTAATAAAAAATTACTGCTAAGAGTCATGGCAAGTAAATACCACAGCCTAGAACTGACTTATAGTTATATTCTGAGCAGTCTCTTTCTTGACACATTGCACATAATTTACCTGATACAATTTAGATCTAGACAAGAGATGTACCTGGAACTGCTGCCCTAGAGACTGACACAACGGCTCAAGCTTAACAAAAGGTGAGGATGGTGCAGAACCAGGCAGTGGTTCTGTGGGTCCGTGGTACTGGGGGCCATGCTGAGTCAGACCTGCTCGACAGTACCCAACAAGGGAGTGCCTCTCTCTGTGACAGGGCCTTCTTCTTCCAGAGACTCAGGGGGACACAACATGCCTGAAGAATACTTCTAATAACAGTAGCATGATTAGGAGTCATTCCCTCCAATGGAGTGGATTTTGACTCATATTGACCCTACAGGGCAGGGAAGAGCTGTCCCTGTAAATTTCTGAGACTGTAACTCTTTTTTTTTTTTTAAAGATCATTTTATTGGAAGTTCTTATAGTTCTCAAAACAATCCATACATCAATTGTATAAAGCATATTTGTATATATGTTGCCATCATCGTTTTCTAAACATTTACCTTTTATTTGAGCCCTTGGGATCAGCTCCTCTCCCCCCTCCCTCGTGACCCTTTGATAACTTATAAACTATTATTATTTTCATATCTTACACCAACTGCTGTCTCCCTTCCTCCATGGTTTCTGTTGTTCATCCTCCTCGGGGCTGGGGTTGGAGTGGTTCTGTGTCAATCACTGCAATCGATTCCCCCTTCATCCCTTCCTCTCTTCACCTTACCCCTACCCTCCTGGTAGCACTACTTTCATTTTTGATCCTGAGGGGTTTATCTGACTTGGATTCTGTATGTTGTGAGCTCTTATCTCTACCAGTGCACATGCTCTGGTCTAGCCTGAAGTGGATGGCACAACTAGGTTCATCACAACTAGTGGGAGTGAGGAAGCCTCAAGGAACCAACAAGAGGAATATTGTGTGTTTCATCAGTGCTATACTGTGCCCTGGTTGGCTCATCCCTTCCTTGTGACCCTAACTGAGACCGTAATTCTTTACAGGAGTAGAAAGCCTTCATCTGTCTCCAGCAGAGCGGGTGGTAGTTTCAAACTTCTGACCTTGCAGTTGTCAGCTGGAGGCATAACCACTATGCCACCAGGGGTTTGGAGTAATTGTCTGAGAAGTAACACTAAATACGAGGAAAGAATTTTCACCTTAGCAGTGGGTACTTCTGCCAACCCGATGAAGAGCTTATTGAGACCGGCAACAGGACTGAATGAATAAACAAAATGACTATCCTAGAGCAGAAAGAGGCCACAAAAAAGGAGGTCAATGCTTCTGCAGCAACACTGAAAGCTAGAAAAGAATAGACCATTAGTTTTACAATAGAACTTTATTATAAGGGAGACCAGATGCCTTTAAGACTCAAATGATTTCAAAGGGAATCATACAAAACTTTTGTATTTGATTTTTCATAAGCCTGTGTGCAGCGATTTCTTTATTTTCACCTCAAGTTACTTTAAGATGTAAATGATTTCAAAAAGAACCTTTAAGAATTATCTGAAAAAAATTATCCAGAGAAATCTTTGAGATTACAATACATCCAGCAACATAGAAGCACGAATGTTAAAAGTGCCCACACCCAGTTAACCTTAAATCAGCTTAGGGAAAGGCTTCTCACGCTGGCAGAGGTGAATGCAGAAGGATTCTTGACGAGCATTTATCCAGCCGCTAGTACACTATTTGCTACATGTTTTTATGTTTTAAATTTCATGATGAACTAGAAATATAAAATGATAGTATAATAATGATTGTTCCAACTATGTGTTGAAACCAAGCACAAACATACCCAGTGCTGATATAGTGGCTGCATTTAGGTACTGAAAGCACAAACAGAAGCAACTTGGTTTTCTTTTTGAATTTTCTAAATTTTCCTTCAATGAATGTTTATCACTATGATAGTAGGGAAAAGTTGTGACATTTAAATGCAGGCAAGGTGTTCCTTGTAAACCATAACACTTTCTATATTCAGAATCATGCAGGTTTTAAGGCATTACGGTAAGCATAATTTAAGGCATGAAATTAGCCATTATTTTTCTTATGGACAGTGTCCAGTATAATTTCATTGTATGATTATGGGGTACAACTGGTTTACTAAGATGTAAGGACTGGATTTTATGAAAAACGAAAAGTGATCTTCACTTTGGATTAGGAGTTTTCGGTACTGAGCTACAAAAAACAATCTTACCAGAAAAACAGGGAGTTGAAACTTGTCATTTAACACTACGGCTTGCACACTGCATGGACCACAGAGGCGAGCAACCACTTCTTTACCCACAAAGTTTGCATGGAGAATGAACAGCAGGATTCCAGAGCCTGGGTGAGGGCGACACAAACACACACTGTGTTGAAGACCCCGAGAAAAGGGGATTGTAGTCAGATGTGATTTTATTTTATGACAAATCCATTTTATGAGCTCCATGGGCCCCTGCTGAGAAGCGTGGAGGGGGCAGGACTGACACCTGGGGAGCCTGTCTGCCAGCTCCCAACCCACTGCCGCTCCCCAAGGCCTTGCCCGGCTGTGTCTGCCCACGTGTTTGTTTTGCCCAGCCCTTTCCAAGCCACAGAACTCTTACCTTTCTGTCTGACCAAATCCCTCTTAAGTGTCAGTACACAGAACACACTTTTATTCTTCCTCCTTCCTCCCTCCCTCCTCCCTGTCCTTTCCCTCCCCGACCCCCTCACCTAACCCTGGCCTTGTGGTGGTCTTGGAAGTCTAATCCTTTGGGGCAAACACGGAATTTCTTTTTTCCCCCTCTATAATAACGATGTCATAAGATATTGATCTTTATGAGGTGGACTAACTTTGCTGAGCACAATGTTTTCTCATTTGGTTCATGTCTGAAGGTGTTTTGACAAATTCAGCGTTGCTTTTTAGGAGCACGTTTTTCAATATGCTTTTACTACACTAAAGCTGTTTGAATTGTCTTCATCTAATAACGTAGAGATGCTGCCGAACAGAAGTTCAAATTCTCATAGCATGTAGACGCTCTGTCACTATGGGGGTTGGGCAAACTCCTGTCAATACTGGCCTGAGACAATCCTTCACTTTACACCTGAAATCCTCCCTGAAGGCATCTGGAAACCAAGCACGAGGTTGGCTGCACTAGTTACCTGTGTCTCCCGTGAGCACTGAGCACCTTTCAGAACTCCGACCTCCTACGTGTGTGACCAGATGGGCAACGGCACAGGGAAGGTCAACGAGGAGTGTGGGAGGCAATGCCGTCTGGTAATGGGGAGGAGTGTGTCTGGAAAGGCGAGTGAGACGGTTGCAAAATTCAAGCGTCACTGAATTCTGCCTGTGGAAAACTGATTTGGCATATGTTTTGGCAGTCATAGGAGGGAGCATCCCCCCACAAAATGGGAGAAAAGGGAAAGAAAAGATCATGGGATTTTCACCCACACACACTTTTTGCAACCTCCTCATATTTTCAACAGAAACAGAAAGGTTGCGCTGAACGGAGCATGTTCATGAAAAAAAAAAAAAATCCTGGGACATCTCTACTGTGGTTCTCTGTGGCTGTGCGATTAATTTTTCTCCTTTCTTTCTATATTGTTTGGCTACGTCTCAATTTTCTGATTAATCCGAAACCAAAAAACATGTCAGCATGAGATTTGAAGTTTTTACCGAATAGTCCAAAAGAGTCTGTACAATTTATTTTGGGAAGAAATGCTGCCTGCGCAGGCATCTAACAAATAAGTGCATGAACTCAACAAGTCTCTGGTAAACCAGCCATTTTTAACATAAGATCAAGGATCTAGCCCAGTCATGGGGAGCAGACCATGAAAGGCACCCCAAATGTTTATCTGTTGACTTGCTCTGTTCTGAGGGGAAAACAGAACGAGTCGGGATCCTTGTTTTCTCACCCCTCCGTACAAATGATCATTACTGCTTCAGCGCTGATTTTCCTCTCTCACTTATCATACAACTTCCCAGCCTCGGGCGCCGGGAACCAGAAGGCCTGACAATGAGACAGGGGTAGCCTCCACCAAGAACTCCGCTGCTGGGAAGCCAGGGTGGAGAGGACAGCAGGCTGAGCAGTCAGCCAGGGGCCATCTGTGCCTGGTGACTCGGATACAAACAGTCCACACAACGGAAGTCACCTTAGAAATGTCTTTCGTTAAGACCAAAGGAAGTTAGAGCTAAGCAACATGTGTTCAGGTGTCAGTTTTACTCTCATTGATAAATACTTAACATGTCATAGATATGAAATGAGCTACAGGACCCTAAAAACTTGTTAGCTGTTGTTTCATGATATCAATACATATTTTTTCGTCAGCCATGCTTTCAGCATGACTTACAACCCAAAGCCCCTCAAACGGTCATCATCATGAGCGTTTCTAGCGCTAATGTGCTTTCGAATCACCTGGGGACCTTGGTGACATGGACACTGTGTTTCAGAAGGTCTGAGTCCACATTCCTAACAAGATCCCAGGTGCTGCTTGGAAGGGTTGCTCTGCAGAGACCACACTTTGGGTGGCAAGAACTGGAGGACGTCAGGACATTTGTGTGGTCAGTTTTCTGATTAATGGACAACATAATCGTGGCTGCAGATATTGGACATGAAAAATAATTCTGTAATTCCAAATTCGCCCACTCCCCGACTACACCCGAGTAATATCCACAGACAGCATGTGACTCACCCACCTGGGCTCTGATTGCAAGGGGCGTGCCAGTTCCAGCTCTACACGTGCTTGCTCCCCGACACACATCCAATTCAATTATACACACACACACATACAAAACAATATAATTCAAAAATTATACGGGATAAATGGAGAGCCAAACACACAAATTATAACTCCGCCATGCCAAGTTCACTAGCATGTTAGGAATAGGTGTCCTTAATGGGGAAGGAGTAGTCTCTTCAACAAAATGGTGCCGAGAACACTGGGGTTCTATGTGCAGAAAATGAAAATAAGATGCGAACCTTGTACCATAAGTTCTCAAAAGTAATTGGCCTGCTTATTTTCAGAAAAACAAAACAAAAACAACTACTCAGTGTCCCACTGGCAATCAAAAGCTTCTGTACTACAGCCCACAGTCCAGGATAAAGTACAGGTATCTGCTTCTGCAGCCCCTGGATCATTCAGGTGCTCCCCTGGCTCAGGGGAAAGGTATCGCCCACTCTGAAATACTTCTCTACAGGCCTTACCTGCCCCAGGACCAGAAGGACTAGATGCTACCTGGATAGCACTAACCAGGGTCAAAATGGATGGACCCTGGTAGAATGTGAAAAAAAGTATAAATAGACTTCAGATTCCTAAAACAACAACAACAACAACAACAACAACAAAACCTACTAACCTGGTTGAAATAGAAGGGATTCCCCAAGACTACAGCTCTAAAATACACTTCAAATCTTGAACTGAAACTAACCCGAGAGGTCACTTTGTAGAGAAATCACAGATTGGCCTAAAAGGTCCTATCACCAGTAGTTAATGTGCTCCCTAAAGAAAACACCTGTATGAGACAGTGGCTGTTAATGACTTGAAAGCAAAGGTGAGCATGTAAGGAAGCTGGGAAATTCCATCAATGGAAACAGCAATCAAAATGAAAATGAGCATGTCCCATGTTTAAAAAAAATGTAACCAATGTCACTTAACGAACTGTGTAGAGACTGTTGGATGGGGACCTAAACTGCTTTGTAAACCTTCATCAAAACCACAAAATATTGGGTGGAGGGTGGGGAGTGGGGGTGTTAAGGGGAGAAGAAAAGAAAAAATGAGTAACTGCGGGGCTATTATATAAAATCTTCACCCACTCATAATTCAGGACCCTGGTAGCACAATGGTGAAGTGCTAGGCTGTTAACCCAAAGGTCGGTGGTTCAGAGCCATCCAGTAGATTTGGTGTCTCCTCTTCTGGCGACTAAACTTTATTGCAGCGCAAGACATTTACTTGTAAACTTTTTCTAGCAGGTCACAGTAATCCAAAGACTCCAGCTCAGTGCCATTGAGTCCATTCCGACTCACAGTGACCCTCTAAGGACAAGCCAGAACCACCCAGTGGGTTTCCAAGACTGTTGTTAACTGTTTACGGAAGTACAAAGCCTCATCTTTCTCCTGTGGATTTGAACTGCTGACCTTGTGTGTTCAGGGCAATTCCTGATCCTCTACATCACCAAGATTACCTCCTTTAGAGACTATATTAAAATTCAAGAAAAATTATGACTCTGGGTTTAAAATTTTATAGCTAAATTTTAACCAGTCAGTTAAAAAAAATTAAGACCCGCTTGCATCAATTTTAGCACGATTGTTAACACAGTGCTCTAGGGGTCTCCTCAAAGCCACCTGGGAGGTTAGACAGCAGTTGGGTCTCTTGTCTGAGCACCTCTGCTTTTCATGGGTTTACATTATTATGTTTAATGGAATTTCCTTAAAGTTTTGCTCAAAGGAAGGTTCTGTCTAGATACCAACTCATATTTATACTGTCATGTTTCAGAGAGAAAGCAGAGGTTTACCTTCAGGTATGTTCTGTGGAGGCTTGTAATTGAATTCTGTTGAAAAATCTGGACCCTCACAGAGACGATGACACGCTATTGGAAAAACCAGTTCTAGTAGAAGAAGACGTGCTTCAAAGTAATCTCTTATTGTTTCTTCTGCGACTCTTGAGAGTCTAATAAAAAAGTATAGGAAGAATTTTCTTTCTTTTTTTTAAAAAATAAAACATTTTATTGGGGGCTCTTACAGCTCTTATAACCCATATGTCCATCAATTGTATCGAGCACATTTGTACATATGTTGCCATCCTCATTTCCAAAACATTTTCTCCTTGAGCCCTTGGGATCAGCTCTTTTTCCCCCTTCCTCCCCCACCCTCCCACCCTCAGGAACCCTTGATAATTTATAAATTATTTTTATTTTCATATTTTATACTATCCGTTGTACCCTTTACCCACATTTCTATTGTTCGTCCCCCTGGGGGGTGGAAGGGTGGCAGTTGTATGTCGATCACTGTGATTGGTTCCCCATTTCCCCCCTTTAACCCAAAGGTCGGTGGTTCAGAGCCATCCAGTAGATTTGGTGTCTCCTCTTCTGGTGACTAAACTTTATTGCAGCGCAAGACATTTACTCATCTTCCCCCTACCCTCATGGTATCGCTATTCTCATTATTGGTCCTGAGGGGTTTATCTGTCCTGGATTCTGTGTGTTAAGAGCTCTTCTCTGTACCAGTGTGCATGTTCTGGTCTAGTCTGATTTGTAAGGTAGAACTGGGTCATGACAGTGCAGTGGAGGGGAGGAAGCATTAAAGAACTAAAGGAATGTTGTGTGCTTCGTCAGTGCTACACTGCACCCTGGCTGGTTTGTCTATTCCTTGTGACTCTGTTGTGAAGGGATGTCCAATTGTCTACAGATGAACTTTGGGTCTCCATTCCGACCCCCCTCGTTCGCATTGCAATGATTGTTTGTTTGGGATCTTCTGATGCCTGATACGTGATCCCATCGACACCTGGTGATCCCACGGGTTGGTGTGCTGCTTCTTCCACGTGGCCTTTGTGCTTCCCTGCTGGATGGCCGCTTGTTTAACTTTAAGCCTTTAAGACCCCAGATGCTTTATCTTGTAACAGCTGGGCACCATCAGCTTTCTTCACCACATTAGCTTATGCATTCATTTTGTCTTCAGTGTTTAGGAAGAATTTTTAATGTTAATGCAGACACTAGCCATTATCCATAAATCTATTCTACTAGTGAATGTGAGGCCGTGTCTGACCAACCTTTTACAATCAAGGCAACACTGGTTGCTGCTTGCTTCCTCTTTAGCACTCACCACCTGACAAACCAGCCTCTTATTTGTCTATCTCCTCTAAATGGAATTGAATTTCAAGAAGGGAAGGTCTTTCTCTCCTGCTTTCCATATCCACAGCCTTAAGAACAGGGCCCGAAAAAGTGGGTGCTTAGTACATATTTGGTTAGTGAGAAATCAATCAGAAAAATCAGGAAGGAGAATCTGTAGAGAAATCAACTAATGAAGGTTTGTTTGCCATGCACACGCCAAGTCTCATTCAGTGCTTAGTTGATTGAGACAACACTCATCAGTTCCATCTGGGGGCATCCCGGTCTGAGCATTAATGTTTGAGTGCAGGCAGCCACTTAGGTCCACTTCAGGACCAGTCCAGGGCCCCAGGAACCCCGCTGTTCATTCGTGTGAACAAAGGCTTTGAGAGGTGGCAGCGAAGACGTGTTCTCCTATCCAGCATCCACTGTCTCTTCTACTGGAAACCTGATTGGGTTCAGGGGGCAACTTGACCACCTGAAAAAGTGGCTTCCCCAGGCCTCTGGCAGCCATGTGCACCTCTGCCTGGGACTGGCCCTCGATGCACCCGGCAGTCCTGGCTGGGCGAGGCTTCCAGCGGGGCTGGTAAAGGGAGCGGGCCCGGGCACGTGCCTTTTTCAGATCTTGCTGTTTGTCTCTCGTCTTTCTGCTGAGAATGCAAATTCTAGGTCTGGAATCGGAGTAACCGCCTTATGGACACGTCAAAGACATCATGTCCTAGATGTGGAGGGTCAGGAAGAGCAGAGCGACTACCCCTGCTGAAGGGGCACCCCCACGCGATGCCCTGTGATGATGCCAGTCCAGCCCCTTCTCGCTGAAGCTAGTGTTTCTGAGGATTCATAAGTGAAACAAAGATAGCAAAGTACCAGGTGTGAAGAATAAGATTAAAACAAAATGAAATATACTGTAGAATTCATTTGAAACAGTATGATCGATTTGCATACTTCAAAGAAAACGTATGCTAGCTAAGTTACAAACAAAATTAAGATTTTTCAGGAGGTAATCCTACATGACAGTGGTGTGAAAGTTTTAAGACCTCAGTGATTTACAGAAAAATAACTAATACACCACTTATTAAATTCACTTTCTATCTGCTATGAACAGAACCCCATCAGGACTTATCCTTGACTACCTTTTTCTAAGTAGTTACAGACAGGCTGTACCAATGCAACATGTTCAAACAATGAGATGATTCTCTGTGATTTAACACGGGCCCTTTGACCTCCTACTTACGTTTCTAAATGATTCTTCAGCAGATCATACACCAGCATGTTTTTACTCTGCTTAGCAAAATACAGTGCGCTGTTCTGGTGCTTGGACAGAATATTACAGTCCGCTCCACACTCGATCACAAGCCGCACGATGTCCCAGTTTCCTCGTTTACAGGCCTGTGTCAGGAAGAAGGGTGAGAATTATGTACAGCATAACTCTTTGTTGAGCACCAATTCATGTTTGTCCCTTTCTCCACACCCCCAGCCTGGGCATGCTCTGTGAAGAGAGGGGTGAACATGGAGTCCTGGCCACACCCTTTCACAGCCCAGGCCTCCGTTTCATTGGCCCTCCATTTCATTTCTTAGGATTACTTTACAATCCAGTGAGAAACCATTTACAAACGTAGAGCGATTTGATCTTTTTATTCAGTACAAGGGAGTGTGTGTATGTATGTATGTGTGGGTATTCAATCAGTTTCTACACTGACAGATTGTTCGGGAAACAGGTAACCAAAGAATACATCTATCCCAAGCAGAAGATACACTGAGTCCTGTAAATCCCACCTCTGTAGACATCTGGGCAACCAATCCACTTCACTATATCCCCACTTTCACCATCTGAGTGCTGTACACTATCATTTCACTTATTCTCAAAGACTCCTACAAAATATACAAACCATTCCTTCCTTTAAGGGAAATTTAAAAATAACAACCTTCAATCTGATTATTTCTCTCCCCAGCTTAAATCTTTCGGTGGCTTTCAATTACCACCAGATACTTTCCTAAATCTTTAACATGGCACAGAAAACGTTTGCGTCCTTTACTCAGTTTCGAAACTCCAGACTTAGCTGATCCAATCACTTGCTGTTCAGAATGCACCTGGTGGCTGCTCAAAAAGTTTTAAATTCATGACTGAGGCGCCAACTCTGCTGTAAACATATGGTGGTAATAAAAACACACAAGCACATAAAGTAAAACGGAAAGATCAAGCTCATGAACAAAACAAACATTTCCATAAACCAAAAATGAGACAGAAGCAAAGAAATCAACGTAGCAGGAGCTAGAGGTGCTGAGAGCCCGTCCCTCAGAGTAACAGTAACAGCCCCAGTCAAGATGTGGCTCAGGGACAGCTTCTAGCTCAGAACTTGGGACTGTTTCATTCATTGCAAAAGATGGAGAAAGTTTATTGCAGAAAAATACCAGGTTGGGTCACTCACTGGTATAAAGCTGCGTTCCTAGGGAAGAGAAAGGGACTGTGTCCGCATCTGCTATGTCCTACCAGGAACCTAGAAATGCCCACTTATGAGTAAGTGGGGGGGCCCAAGTTTATGAAAAGGCACAACTGCTACTCAGGATAGTTAATAACAGGTGTAGGTGTGTGTGTGTGTGTGTGTGTGTAGGGAGGCTCATCAACTTCCCAAACAAAATGTGTGACCCCAAATTCCAATCATGGAGACTGATTCCCCGATACAGAAGAGCAGTGAAAAACCAACCATGCTTCTTCATTTGCAGATGCCGGCACTTAAGGACGTCCAGTCCTGCTCTATCTGCCTGGCCTGCCTCATCGCCATTAACTTATATGTGTTTTCTGAGACACAGTTGTTATTCCACCATCAACCTCTCAGCCAGCTCAGCCCCCCTTCATGGAACATGCAGTTCTCTGGCTTCTTGCTGGCACGTGCTAGCCTATACCATGTCCCACCTGTTAGTTACTGGTCAGAGTTGACTTGAAAGCAGGGAGGGGTTTGTTTCTGTTTTCAGTTTTCAGTTCTCCTGCTCATCCGTGAGCTGCTGGAGTCCACAGGTGACCTTGTTGCTCATCATATGTCTAGTGCCCAGCACAAACAAAACAAAAGCTCACTGTCACTGAGTCGATACTGACTCATGGCGACCCTATAGGACAGGGTAGAACTGCCCCTCTGAGTTGGCGAGACTGTAACACTTTATTCAAGTAGAAAGCCCTGTATTTCTCCCGAAGCCCAGCACAAAGGGAGATACGTGCAGTTCCTACCACGAATGCCTGCTCTGTGCAATGCATTTACCTTCATTAGCGCAGTCTCCCCATTGCTCTGCTGGACATTTACAAAAGCTCCTGCTTCCAAAAGAATAGCCACTGTTGTTAGAAAGTTCTATTAAAAACAAACAAACACAAAAGCTAATTGAATTCTCAAAATTCTCTAAAAGACATTTAAAACTATTCTAAAAGGTTTAGTCATCAGCAGCTTTTATCTCAAGCAGTTTGCTGAATATATTATTCCAATTTCTTCTCTAAAGAGAGATTCCTGTGTGGGGTAGTTGCATAATCTCCTGTAAACTTAAGCAAAGGGGTAGAGTTTAGCCTGCCCAGGTCACAGTTTGATAACTTCATCTGGAGGCACGATGGAGATATATAGCTCACTGAAGGCCAGACCCACTCTCTCTGCCTTCCTTTTTCTGCTGTCGAGACACTCAGAGAGCTGGAGGAGACATGTGGAGACCCGTGCCAGCATTGAGATGCTTCCACTGCCACTGCATCTACAAGACCTTCTACCCACTGGGCTGTGATCTTCCTATATTTAGCATCATTGCATGTGCTGCATGAGTCTAAAGAGGAATTTATGGACTGGTATTGGACATATGGGTTAATATCGGACTTATGGACTTGATCTGGACTGGGCTGGGCTGTTTTCTCAATAGTAATTGCTCTTTTATAAAAAGCTCTTTTTTATACACATGGGAGGTAGTTAGCTTATTGTGCCAACCTGGCCGATAAACACATGTGGGGTTAATTGAAGGGCGGAGGGATAAATGGCTCGGTGAGCCTCGCCTTTCGAGTTCTCAGGTCTCTTGCTTTGTGATGGTCAGACCAGGGTGTAGCTGCCCTAGCCAGTTCCCGGCTTCAGCTGGCAAGATTCACTTCCTGTAAGACATCCCTGATGAGAAGCCGCATGGACCTACCCTGATGCAGCCCTGGGTGCTTGAGCAGCCGTGTGGAGACCCCTGCAAGCACTGAGATGCTTACACATTCACTGACTCAACTTTCCTCCTGCAGTTGGCATAATTGCGTGTGTTTTGTGAGATGGAGGAGGACTTTGTGGATTGGTGTTGGACATATGGGCTAATGTTGGACTTGTGGGCTTGGGCAGCACTGGGTTGGGATGTTTTCTTGATGTGCACTTACCCTTTATATAAAACACTCTCTTATACATGAGTTCCTGTGGATTTGTTTTTCTAATGTACCCAGAGTAACACAAGTATCTATGAATTTGTCTCTGTAGTCAACCTGGACTAGCACACTGTGAATCCCAGAAATTCAGTCTGAAGTATAATCATTTGGTTCAACATAAGAACCTCTACATACAGATCCTTTAAAAATCATGGGCACATTTTAAGTAAATTATTAACGGAAGAAAACATCAGTATCTTAAGCAGAGGTCGTTTTTAATATAAAATCCTTGCAGTGATCAAAATCCCTTTTTGAAAGCTCAATTACACAATACTGCTTTTGGTACACGCCTCCATTCATTACAAGTCATTGATCAACTGAAATACGAATGATAAAGTTATGGGACAGTGTGCTCTCACTCACCACCCCAACGCCCATTATATTTCACACAGAGTCTTTCTTAGTCCCGGGCAGGAATTACCATAAAGACTATAGAAAAGTGACACATTGTCAAAGTTCCTAACCTTCTCAGCTGCATGAATCAGAGCAGTTTTCCCATTTTTCTGTCTCCTGTTAACTTTGGCTCCTTTCTTGATGAGCAGTCTCAGGACATCATCTTGTCCTCCAGCGGCAGCAAGCATCATTAGAGTCAGCCCACTTGAATCCTTTATCGTGTTTTTTCATTATTGAAGAGAAAACATGTTAATATTTAGTGAGAAAATTTTCATAACTCTCTCCACTTAGGATATTTCACCATAAAATTACTAAATTATATTTACTTAAACATATACTAAAATTTATGTTTGACTGTGAGTAGGCATTGGGCTGTTAACAAGATTAATGTCTAAAACCACCAATAGCTCCTTGGGAGAAAGATTAGGTTGTCTTCTCTGATAAAGATATAGTCTTGGGAAAACTTTGAACTAAAATAGTCAAATAAACATTCAGAAATGAATAATCTTTAGTGTCCCCCCCACCCCACCCCATACAAACGCTACCATAAAGCTTTATCATTTTCATGAATTAGGTTGCAAAAGGCTATCAACAGCCTGTATGACATAAAATGAACAGTGAAAATTTTTCATTTCATGAAAAATGAAACTTATTGTGAATTAGCTGAAGATTTACTGAGCATAGTTTGCCCTTCAACAATTCATCCATAATCTGATTTAGTCATCCATTACCATCCCCTCAAATATACCACTTCTTATCCCACTTTCTCCTGCATTTCTTATTTCCATTTCTCCTACTTTCCTCATCTTATGAACTTTGTCTTTGGATTAACGCTACCCTTTTGATATTAAATAATCGATCATCCTCACATGAACAGTGAATCTTGATAATTCTGCATAATTATGAAAGATATTTATTTTGTTTGTTCATATTTCAGGTCCAAAATTCACCTTTAGCTTCTAGGTAAAAATAGGTGAAACTCAAACATTCATTTTATTCATTTAAGTTGGCCCAAAGATTTAAAGGAATAGAGGACCACTATAAGTCCCATAAGCCCATTTTATTGATGAAAAACTAAAATGGAAGTCAGTTAGATTACATAAGTATTGATCCATATCGGTAAAATTGTTGGGTAGCATGTTTGGTTGCTCCAAGAACAAGGAAATAAAACAAAACAAGTAGCAACTCTAAGGAGAATTTGATATCCAAAGTTACCAAGTTATTACATTCAAATGTCCCAGTTTCAACAAAAAATCACAAGGCATAAAAGAAAGTGAAAAAGAATGGCCCATATGAAAGAACAGAATAAAGTGAAAGAAACTGTCTCTTAAAGAAGCTGAGATAACAGACAGTGGACACGGTTTTCAAAACAGTATTAAATATGCTCAAGGAACTAAAGGAAGATGCAAAAACCAAAAGAAAATCAGAACACCATATATGAAAAACAGAAAAATTATCAATAAAGAGAAAGATTCATAAAAAGGACCAACCAGAAATACCGGAGTCACAAAGTACAATAACCGAGTGGAGAAATTCACTAAGGGGTTCATAGGACATTGGAGCTGGCAGATGTATGGTGTATACAGAATCAGTCTTGTCTGAGATATCAAGGAGATTAAGCAAGAAGAGCACAAATGAGAGGAAACATAACAAGACACAGAAGTTCTCCAAGGAACCAAGCAGCAGATGCTAAGAGACGACGACCATCCTCCAGAGCTTACAGAAAAAGCCTTCCCCTGGAGCCAGGACCCTGAATTAGGATTTGTAATCTCCAAAAATCACAAGAAAATAAAAATTTTAGAGTCATCAACTTTAAGTATTTCTTTTTTTAAAATCGTTTTATTAGGGGCTCATACAACTCTTATCACAATCCATACATACATCAATTTTGTAAAGCACATTTGTACGTTCACTGCCCTCATCATTCTCAAAACATTTGCTCTCCACTTAAGTCCCTGGCATCAGGTCATTTTTTTTGCCCTCCCTCCCCACTC